CCGGTCCTTTCACTATTTTATTGTGTGTGTGTGTGTATGTGTGTGGGGTGTGTGTGTATGTGTAAAAACACGAGTTCAAAAAGCAGGGGAAAAATAATTCCCTCTTGTCTCTGGTTTTATGTGTTGTTTTATTGCTTACTGTGAATCCCCTTATTTGTCTGCATGGAGAATGATGTTTGGTTCATGCTCAAGCTTGCTGTGTCTTGTCTTTAGCACAGGTTGGATCAGGGCTTAAATAGAAATTCTCTTTTAGCTTTTCCCTAATGTATAGTAATTGATACGGATGTTCAGGGTATTTACCTAAGACTGCAGTGGGATCAGAAGTATTTATAGACCTTTATCATCTTTGGAGAGTTTTTTTTTTTTTTTTTCTGGATTATTTATGCTATGTGCTTTCAACACATAGAATGGGGTAAGCATTGCTAGGCCTCACACTTGCATAAACTACTCTACCACAAAAAGTACGTAGAACAACTGGATTGCCTAATGCCTCTATTGCCATAATGGTAATGTTCTTAAATGCCTAATTGCAGAACAAATTCATTTTATGTAACTCAGTGAGGAGTTAAGCAAATTAATTGTGAAGTGATGACCTGGCAGAATTAGCAGTTGTATGTATGGGCCCAGATTTCCTAGGACACTTAGTGTATTTTAAGCGAATTCTGTCAGTGTCCTAACAGACAAGGATAAACAAACTGGTATGCATGTGAATTATAAGAGGAAGGGTTTGATTGCAGCCTAAATTAAGAACAAAGTAGACAGGAATTGTAAGCAAGCAGTATTTGCTTGCTTATCTTGAAATGCTTTTGTTCTTAAGAACTGTTGTGTGAAGATGGAGAGAGAAATTGTGAGGTAATTTTGATTTCCAATGTTTTGGATTGGAAGGGACCTTCTAATTCCATCCTCTGTCACTTCCACCAGACCACGTTGTGCCAAGCCCCATCCAACCTGGCCTTGAACACTTCCAGGGATGGGACATCTGTAGCTTCTCTGGGCGACCTGTTCTGGTACCTTGCCTCCCTCTGAGTAAAGAATTTACTTCTGGTATCTCATCTATACCTACCTACCCTCATTTAGTTTAAAGCCATTCCCCCTTGTTCAATCACCACACTCGCGGACGAGGATTCCCTCCCCAGCTTTCCTGTAGCTCCCTTTGGATACTGTAAGGCCTCTGTAAGGTCTCCCCGGAGCCTTCTGTTCGCCAGTCTGAACAACCCTAACACTGTCAGCCTGTCTTCACAGGAGAGGTGCTCCAGCCCTCTGAGCATCCTCATGGTCCTCCTCTGGACTTGGCATAATACGTTCATGTCCTTGTTCTTCATATGTAGTCGTCAAGAAAATTTACCATCACCAACAACTAATAACATTATCCTCTTGATGTTTTTCTTTTCTGTACTGAGACGAAACAGAAGAACTATGGAGTGGAGGGAAGTGTAGTTGGGTAGAGTATCTGAAGGGACTTACAAATGTGAGAATCTTTAAAAGATGTTTGTATCGGAGTAAAAAGGAGCTACTAAAAAGTAAGACTTGGTAAATTGTTACAAGGGTAATGAGGATGCTGTCTTTATTTTTCTGAGGAAAAGAAAAAGGAATAGTTGTAGGCCTGTTTTGAACACAGTTACTGCACAATGGTTAGTGAGTGGAAAGTCTCAGACCTTTCTATATAACGAGATAAATGAAGAGATTTGTTGCATGCCTGTGTGAATGATGTGTATCTGTGCGTGCAAAGTGCACGCAGTATGGTGTGGCCATCTTGTCTTTGCTCTTCCTTTTTGAGGCTTGGCTAGGGGAGTGTAGGTAAAGCTAAAATGGTATTTGTCAGTAGTTGTTCAAAGATCCTTCTCTTTGCCAGCTGGAAACAGGTTCTGCGAGGGTTGAGTTACTTCAAAAGCAGAGAGAAAATGTCAGATTTAGAACAACTTTAAGGAACTTAATCAGATAAGCTTAAATCCCTGACAGATTTGTTTGTTGGAATTTCAGAGAACTTTATTTCTGTTCTTAGGTTATGTCCTTTCAGAAGTGAAATGTAATCGTACATAATAGCTCTTGAAGAAGTTTCTGTTGCATGAACCAAAGTAAGTCAGAGTATTTCTAATGGCTGTGCTGCTCTGAAGGCAGGGTTGTACAGAGTGCATAGTTCGGAGCACGAAGGAACAGGTTGTTTTAAGTGCACACTTGTACTACAAAGAAGGATGACAGTAAGAAATGAGTTCAAGATTACTCTGACCTACTCCTATTTCACAACAGGAAGAAATAGGCATCTTCATGTGGACTGCAGTCGCATTATTTCATTGTGAACTTTTGAAATTGGCCAAAAGAGTTCTTGACTTTCCTTCCTAGTGTTGCAGGAGGATGACATTTCAAGTAGTGGGAAAAAAATCTATCACTTTTACACAACTATTTTTTTATTTTATTTTTTTCCTGTCTGTCAACTGGTGATCCTTTTGTTCTTCTGCAGGAGACAGCTGGATGTACAGGCTTTGTGGTTTATCCTGCCTGCACTTAGATTATACTAGATCTGTTTTCTAAAGAGAGAAGTGATGGGATGTTTAAACCAGTCTGTGCTTCAGTTATGCAGTTAGCATGGTCACAGCTATAAGGAGTAGGTTTTGGAAGACTGGTAAGGTTCAGTATACCTGAAGAAGTCATGGCTGTCTGTGGTGGTGGTTGTTGTTTCACTGTATGATGGAGCATAACTCATGTCGTCTATTCTCTCTCAACTGAATTACTTATCTGGATATCCATTTTATAGCAGCTGTTCCTCAGGAACTTCAAATTTCTGCTTGTTTAGTAGACCCCAGAGTAGGGCATCTTCCTTTACACAAAAAGGAATCTTCAGACCAGATGGGAAATCTTCAGACTTCCCTCATCTTTATCCCTGGTTGTTTACCAGAAGAGGAGAGGGGAAAATCTCTTAAGAAGGAGGCATATAGCCACTAAGTGCCTGGCTTGTACTTCAGTACTCAAAACTGTTTTTTCAGACAGGCTTTGTGTGTAGGTACCACTTAGAAGGCAGCGTGCACAGAGTGCCTTGACTAGCAAAATATTGTATTGCATATGGTATTCAGAAGGCAAAAAGAAAGAAGAGATACAGAGATAGTTTGACTTTGTTCTAAACATAGAAAGCTTTTTGCATTGTCAGTGCATCATATTCTTCATAGGGTGGAGAATATCGCACTGAAAGGCCTCCTCTGTGTCTGGGGAGAAAACACCAGGAAATGCATTGTGACAGGCTTTTTATATAACTAAATTTCAATCTAGTTCGTGTCCTAAAATCTTACGTCTCATCCATTTTCAGTAGCCAAGAGAGGAACAGATCTTCAACTTCTGCATAAGGATAGCTCAGGAATAATTTTGTAATCACGAACTTTTAAATAGCAGTAAGGACATACTCTTTGGTTTGGGGTCTCACAGAACTTTCACAAGTGCTGTAGTAGTTGTGGAGTCAGTGATGGGACAGGATTCTTTTTAGTAATTTATTTTTCCATGATGTTTTAAAGTGTTTCTTACTGGCATTGCACTTCAACTTGAGGAAGCAGTCAGGATTTCGTCATGGCTTGACTGAATAATTTTTCTGTGCTTTTCTGTTTATCTTTTATGTGGTCATGGTGTACGAACCCATTTTGGAAGTGATGATCTGATTGCTTTCCACAAGTAGCAAATGCTATTTGACATAGGGAGAAAAGATGCTTCAAGAAAAGTCTTAATCTTAGTTCTTGTATCTTTAGTAGGTAAAAAACATGTTGTCTTCTCCCCTGCCTCAACCTACAGTTGTATAGCCAAAATAGCGAGGGGTTTTGTCTTGATGTCTACTGAGCAATAACTTCAATGGAATGGTGTAGGACGAATCTCAGAGTTGCGTTGTGCTGACTTGCTGGTTTTGTCCTTGGGATGTTTTATTTATTTTTTAAATCTCTTAATTCTTTTATTGCTTATTGAGTTTTTAAAAGACTTTGTTCTGTAAGCAGACAGAGCAGGACATGTCAATATTTGCCTGTGACCGCATCCTGCAAAAGAATGACTAGTTAGTCCTGTGGAGGCTTCTTTTTCTTAAGATGAGCTCAGCATTTTTTAATAACTCATACACTGAGTTATTAAGCTTTGTGATTTGATTGAGGGGGAGGGTGGGAGGAAGGAACCAAAACACCAAACACGTGAATGAACTGAAAATATCTAAGCAAATAGCAATTAAAACTTGGACAATAATTCTCAGTCATGAGGTATTGTCGGTGCTGTTTTCAGATGTGCAGAGAGAAAAGCTCTCAATTGTTCTTAAGTCAACTTGTAACTCAATCCACGTTTGTAGAGCTTGACAACAAAAGGCTTTTTGTTCACAGTTTGTATTCATCTAGGACATGCCAATTATTGAGGATAAATAGAACATAATGTATGAGCAGGCAACTATAACATGTTGCTCAATTCAGTGAGTTACCAGAAATCCATTATGTATATTAAAATCGTTGGAATTGCAGGTAGAAAGTACTCATTGGGGAATTTTGGATTTCTGCTCAAATGAGCATGATGTAACTACTTTGAAGAAGCCCATACTGTTGTATTTGATGTGGCAGCAAGAGGCGCAACCAGCGTACAGCTCTTGTAATATTAGTTGCAATCATCTGATTGAGGCAAAGCCAGTGGGTGCTTGACAAAGGAAGCAACAACCCCTCTTACTCCTGCTGTTCACAAATAAAGCATGCTTTGAAAAAGGAAAATGTTCTCCCTAATGTTTTGTTCAGTTCCATCAAGCATTGTTATCTGTGTATTGTTTGACCGTATGTGATTTAAACATCAACTGGGACTGACTTTCCCTGCCAGACCATTCAGCAACACGTAGTTTCTTACTGTTGGTGTGATACTTGTGCCTCCTGTGCTCTTTACAAGAATCAGCATGCTTTTTGTAGGATGTTACCCTAATCATGATGAATGAGCAGGAACACATATGAACCTGTAGAAAGTTTGGCATATTCAACTTTAATGGTGTTTTTCTTTTCATTGCACAGTGGGAACAAAAGCCTGGTAAGCAGGGACTGACCTGAAACAACAGAAAGAAATAACATTGGATAAAGCACTCTTCCCCGCCCCCTCTGCCCTTATCACTAAATCATGTTAACTCTGTGAGTTATGTTCTTGATTGACACAGATGTGTCCAAAGGGAAAGGTGTGATGGCTCCCAAACTATATGAAATGCATTTAAGAGGTGGGTGTGACTTGATAAGAGAGCACATCATTTTAAGTTTTTATCTTGGGAATTGTTTGTGGAGTATGGGACAGAAGCTTTGGGGTAGAGACTTCTTTGCATTTGAGAGATGTGTAAACTGACTTCCTTATAGAAAGATGTGCATGTGGGGAAAGCACTGAAAAAGGGTTGACCAAGAAATTAAGTTCATTTTAAATGCTATGTTCTTGCACTGGACATGGTTTTATACTTCTGTTATATTAAGTCTGTGTTCCTTTTCTGTCCTTTTTCAGGTAGCGGTGCTACAGCAGTTGTACAGGCTGCGCTATGCAAACCCAGGCAAGAACGTGTAGCAATAAAGAGGATCAACTTAGAAAAATGCCAAACCAGTATGGATGAGTTACTTGTAAGTAAATCAAAGGGAGAAATATCTACAGGGAGATGCTCCTCTGTTTTCATTTCAGTTTTTGCTTGGTTGGAGTGAGGGCAAAATTTTGTAGAGGATAATAGAAAAGGACCAGAAAATAACCTGAAAGAGGTGTGCCCTTTCTCTAAAATAAATTGTACTTATGTATGTTTTCTAACGCCACAAAAACAAGTACAAATTTGAATCATTTGGGATAAACCAACTGTTGGGAACTGTGGGAAGAACCTTTCCCCTTGCATTCTGGAGATGTGATTTCCAAGAGATTACTGTCTGGTTATCTCTTGTTCCTTAACACTGGAGAAAGATATTTTTTTCCTTTGGTTAAACAATGATCAAAAATGTGCAGGTAAAGTTTAGAAGGGTTTCTTAATGTCTAAAGCACCAAAAGTGGAAAAATGTAGTTGATGGAGTATTTTATGCTGTCTTCTGTGGGGAAAACTAAAAATGGCTACACTACCAGCTACACAAGGAAACTCTTGTTACAGCTAATAACACACATTTATCCGACAGGCCATAACAAACCATTTGAGGAATGCTATTTGTTTGGGTCACTGATCAGAGGAGGGAGGTACCTATAAGATGCCCTTTGTAAAAGGGACTGAAAGAGTTCTTCCTCCGCACTGGTTATGGTAATCCAAAGTCACAAAACTTGTTCATAAAGCAAACAGGCACTGTTGCTTTCTATTGCTCCTGGTCAGGTGCTTACAAGATAATTGCTTATTTATGTATAGGCAGCATAACAAGAACTGAAGGACAGAACCATTCTAAAAGTGAGAACACTTTCTTCTGTTCCACAGGTTATACTACTGCCTAGAGACTGTGGGCTTTTTCTAATGCAGAAATTCCTGCCTCTGAAGGAAATGATCTCCTCAGCAGGGAATTGCCAGTGCAAAAGATATCTTGAATTTGATACAGAGGGTATGGTCCATCCAGTTTTCTTCAGATAAAATGGCTTCTTTGCAGTGGAGGACCCAAAATGCTCTTCCCCTGGTGATCGATGGCATTTGCCTTCAGTTTGTGCAACAGTTTGTATGGGATGTTGTTGTGTTCTTAAAGAAGATTGGGGTAGTGAGAACACTTCTCTAAAACTAAAAATACTAATTAATATATTTAAAATGGTCAAACATTCATCTTATTCATCAGAATTTGAACTAATTATGGGAATTAAAAATTAAAGTCACAACAGATCAAAAAACCCACAAACTACAAAATGGCCAAAACTCTGCAAGAGATGCCCAGATTGTGCAGACAGATGACTACAGTTACTTACCAGATTGTATATAGTTACCTTGGCAAGTACTTGATTGTCCTTACTGTTGAGATGCCTCCACTGTCTGATACATGAGGCAATAGCTTTTGAACTTCTTGTCCCATACTGCTTTCCTTTGGTACAGACAACTGTCCATACCATCTTTATTATTATTTTTTTTTAATATAAGTTAGTTTCTGCTTTTCTGTGCTAAGATTTTTTTCTTTTATTTGTTAACCTGTTTTGAGCTTAACATAAATTCAGTCTTTCTCAATTCCTGATTAGAAGGTTAGGGAAAAAAGGCCATATGACTTCTTTTATACTTCTATATATTTCTACACACATGTGCATGCCTAAACATTCAAAATTATTTTTTCAGTGAAAGTATACTTATTCTGACTCTGTTGTAATAAAGACTTAAAATTTGCTTTTAAAAGAAAGATGCTATTCTGGAGAAGGAAACCATTTGCCTTCACAACTCTTGTTACACCTGTGCTAACATTTTTGTTTCCCTTGATTAAATATTTAAAATGTTCTGTTTTGTTGTTAACATTTTTGAGTCTGCTCAATTTTCAATCACTTGCTCTGATCAGTTTCTGTTAGTGTGGGGATACTTTAAAACTGCCCTCTGAACATGCTGTTTTGGAAAAATCCTGCTGATAAGTTTCTATGGATGGTGTGCAAAGGCCTCCCTCACATTCTCAGCTATGTGGCCTTCAGCGAAGTAGAAATTGCAGCAAATTGATGTCTACATAAACAGACTTAAGATTTGGGCCAGTGTCAATTAAAATAGAAAAGCAGTGGGGGAGGGGTTTAAATAATACTAACGTTACACACAAACTGCCCAACTCCTGAAATTCAATACTTGGTTTCCTGCAGAGTCCTGTGCTCTCACTATTGTGTGCTAAACGTAACTTAACCTCAGAAGCCAAGGAAGAAGTTCCTGTCCTTAGTATTGTTCTGACAGAATATATTCTCCCATCCCTTTAGCTCGTCTTAAAAAAAAAAACACAAACAAGCACCCCCCTAAAAAACAAACAAACACAAAAAAACCCTGCCAAACAATAAAAATAAAACAACAAAAAAAGCCCTCTGTAGAATGGCTTACTCTCAGCACTCTAGGAAAGATGAGAGTCTGGATAGCATGAAAATGCTGTTTTGTACTGCTTGTATGTTCATTATAGCAGTAAGCCTGCTGTGTGTTGTGTACTGGCTTTTAGATAGTAGCTAAGCTGTGCATATCATGAAGGGTAGCTTCTGAATCCATTACAAGGCTTAGCTGCTACAGTGGAGTACTGTCAGATCAATATGGAACTTGCAAAGCTGTTCAATAAAAGTGAAATGAAGCCTTCTACCAAAAGGCCCTGACAGAGCCGTTTCCAGGTAACTGTCTCGTTCACCAAGAAATTTGAGTACATTTTTCTAGAATGTTTGAAGTTCTGGTCTGATAGTCCTTTGAGGTAGGCTGTGTGGAGGAGCCCCTCACACAGTATGTCCAGTTCCTCAAAGTGGTTGTGTCCCATGTGCCTGTGTCCCTCAGGAAACACCCACAGAACGGTCACCTGCCGGCTTACTTGGAGCTGAACCCAGGTCCTGTGAATGCTGCAGCTTAGCACTGAAAGTAGTTGTCTTGCAGTTGTTTATTGCTGCGTCACCCACCTGCCCTTAGGCTGACATATTTTTGTGCAGCTGATCAGTGAAACTGGATCAGAAATAACCTGGCTGAAAATAAGTTAGCTTTTAACCTGGACATGTTTGCTGATGCAGTTCACACACACCACAGGGGAGGGAGAAGCAGGGGGATGAGGGCAAGACTTGAAATTTTAAATGCCACTATGGCTTTGGTGCTGCCAAATGTCTACAGTGATGTGAATATGAAGACAGCTTCTGAGCATTCACCTGGATGCTATGCTACAAATTCTTCCTTAGACTGTATATTTTAATTGTTTCTTACCTGTGTGTCATGGGCCTCAGCCAAATAAGTGAAGTTTATAGAGGCTTACTGCATGGGATAAGGGCTATTCAGAATTAAACATCTGAAATTAACATTTTCCCTATTAAAAGTTATTCCCTTATTTCTCATGGTGTGATTTCTACTTTGTTCTGTAAAGACTTGTTTGGAAGAAATCACCAAAGCTGAGACACAAGATACCTTTGGCCATGGTTACTGTGATAGCTCAGTTTTTGCCACCAGTTGTTGCAGACAGCCAAAACATTTGAAGCATTTTTGGGTTAAATTGGGAAGCTTATTACAGATGATTATTTATACTTCTGCAGTTTTCATGCACTAATAAAACAGTTAAGATGTGTTTTCGTCCAGTAGTGGCAAGCAGACTTCATGAGCAATCATTATATTACCAGCATAGGAAAGCAATAAGCCAGTAGAAGGTATGAAATAGTCACGGAATGGGAGAGTTAAGGTAAGAATTTGGTATGCATAGTTGAATTAAGAACCTGAGGCAGAGACAATGATTTGGCTTTGCTTTAAGATCTACTGGGAAAGGAAAATGTGCCCCACATAGATTTCTTCTCTTTTGTTTGCTGCCTATTGAATCCCAGAAAACAAACAAAAATTCACCCAAAACACGGTGTTGTAATTTGCTCAGTTAGGCTCATTGCGTGGTTATGCAGACGTTCATCTTTCTGTGGTTCAGGGCTGAGAAGTTATCTGGGGAGGAGGACTTGACAACATTACTAGCTGAAATGTATGGCAGACTACAGCCTGACTTAATTGCCAACAGGCATGAGATTAAATCAGTTTTTAATAGCATAATTAACATTTTATTGTAAAGAGATTGTGATCTTGAACACTGCCTTCCCTTCCTCCCCCCAAAGTCTATAAAATTGTCGCTGAAATGAGGCTGAAAGTTGAAAACTGCCTCTGTGGTAGCTGTAATCCACCTAATTGGGACTGCCATAGTGCCTGCCTTGAGTGAGTACTGGTGAATCGGTGTAGCATGGGTCCACCAGAAAGCAGTGGCTTTTCGGGGATGGATTGGCTCCTGGAATGGCTCTCCCTCCAGGAGCACATCTGGTGTCAGGGATGGTTCAGGGCTGTGTGGCCAGACGCAGAAAGGAAGAAGGAGGTAGGGCTGTTGGAGCTTAAGCTGCTGTGATGCCAAACACTCAAATACAAAGGAGGTTTAAAGGCATTGGGGTTTGGCAGAACAACAAGAACAGCCAGAAAGGTGTAACAGAACGGTTAAGTGACAGATTAACTAGAGAAGGGCTCTCTACTTGAAAAGAAGAGACAAGGTTGTCATTCTTTATGTGTACAGCTGTATTGTAGATTGTGTTACTTGGTAATGCTGCATCATCATGCATCTGTTGGTGATTGTGTGCTCCTTTGCTCAGTTGTTTCCTCAGGCTTTCAGTCAGTAACATTGCTTTTTCCTATTCTACTGCTGTTTGCTTACATGACTGTGGTCCATCTGTCCATCTCACAGTAAATAGAGCCAGTGTAGATGTGTATTTTGTCCTACCACTTCCTTCCTTCTTTCCCTCCTGCTCCCATTGTATTTTCATATCCCTTTTGAACAGGAAAGGCAATAGGTTTTAATCTCTCCTTGTGTTCTGCTGTCCAGTCTATTCCCGCACCTTCAGCTCTTGGAGTGGGCTTATTCTTCACTGCTCATTCTGGGACTTTAAACATAATTTCTCAGCTGATATCAGAAGAAAACTGATGCAGTTATGCCTGTATCTCCTGGCCAAGCATCCTTCATGTTCTTTGCAATAATGTATTGTCTTGAATGTAGATCTATAGGTAAAATTGAAACGTTTTCATGCCTTGAGGCATATTCTTTGCATATTTCAGTTTTGTTACAGTATTTCACTTTGGAATTAAACTTGCACTTTACACAAGCAGAACTGATAGCTGGCCATGTTATGTTGGACTTTGTATTTCTTACAGAAAGAAATTCAAGCAATGAGTCAATGCAATCACCCCAATGTGGTGACCTATTACACATCTTTTGTGGTGAAGGATGAGCTTTGGCTGGTTATGAAGCTGTTAAGTGGGGGTAAGTTACTGGTTTTACTTGTTTAGCTGCAAGGAAATTGCATGAATTTTCTAATGTGTGGTTTGTGAGTTAATTGACCTAAACCAAGTAAGGAGAAGGCAAGAGAGACGTTATAGGATGAATCTTGAGGACCTAGACATGCTAAATGTTATAACAGCAATGTACAAGCTTAAAAAGTCTACATATCTATATCGATAATACATACTAGGAATTACTGAAATAAATTATGTTAATCTAATTGCTGTTATTTTTTATTCTAAATCACTATGTTAAAGTTTGCTAAGGCTGTGTAGGGGAAATTAATGATGAGAATTAAGTGATACCTGTCAATGTGGCCTTTTTTTGAGTTACAAATCCCTTCTATTTTTGTAAAGATTTTTTATTTGGTATTTCTCATTTCTTATCCAAGGAATATTCTTCCCTAGGACAGGTCTTATAAATATCACATCCTTTTTGTTGCTTAAGCTAACTGAACACCCTTTACAGTTATTCTGGTGATAGTTAATGGTACAGAAATGGTATGTGGTTCTGGAAGAAGAAAAGGATTAAATTGAATAGGCTTTTGGCTTAGACAAGTGAGGCCCTGATGTACTGTGAAGTGTTGAAAAATACTTGGACAGGAAGAAGATACTTAAATTAAATTCCTTGAGATTAGTAGTAACTGAAGTTCAGTGTCAAACCGCAAGTCACTAGGAATATAGTCATCATTTGTGTGCAAAGAATATCTCCTAGTCTTGCAGCTATAATTTAAGGTGGGTAATAAAAACATGTTTGGTGTGCTTGTTGTCTAAATCTGGATTAGTCTTGAATTTTTAGTTTACCAAGTGGGTCTTCCTAATGGATCATTGTTACGGTATGCTTGATAAAATCCATTCCTTTGTTTCTCATTTGAATGAGGTAATAGTTTGCTTTATTCTGAGAGCTCATTAGCTGAAGATATAAATTGCAGTAACAAGGGAAGAATGATGAAATAACTTTCAAGACTACAATATGATAACGCTGTATATATTTTTTCTTTTTTTCTTTCTTCCCTGGATCTATAATATAGGTTCAATGCTTGATATAATAAAGTATATTGTCAATAGAGGTGAGCACAAAAATGGTGTCCTTGAAGAACCCATAATAGCAACAATTCTTAAAGAAGTTTTGGAAGGTTTAGACTATCTACACAGGAATGGACAAATTCACAGGTAGGAGCATGTATACAGTGAAAGCATTTTCTAAGTTGCATGTGTAGGGTGTTGATACTGGTCAGCTGCAGTTGCTTTGTTAAGCAAATTGTATTGCCTATTTCACATACGGTAAATGTGATCAGTAATTTTTAAATCAGATTGCTCAGGCAGATGCTGTAATCTTCACTGTGGTTTGTCACTTTGTACTTGTTTAGTCTTTATTCTGTCTGTCCCTTTTATAGCCAAGATAGGCCTGTGCTGCACTAAGTCTGCCAAAACTGTGGTCTATACTTCTGTAACTGCTGGTACTCCTTATATTTAATCTGACTTTAGTTTGCAGTGTGGTCTGTGGCTTATACATGTGTTTGTGTTTGTATTGCACAGTAAACACATTATCTTAGGCACTTGGGCACTGCTGCATAAATGTGGAATGTATTTCTTCCTGATAATTAGTAGTGTCTAATACAATTCTACAGATGTCTCTATATGACTATACATAAAGCCAAGTCTGATATTATGGATCTGCATCTTGATGTATACGTATCTGTGATTATTATGTTCTGTATGTTCTCTATGCTGGCTACCTTGGTATAAATTGTGTAGACCCCCCAGTGTGGTCTATACATACCTGTTGTAGTGATCAGGAGGTTGCTTCCACTGTTTGGAAATTGGAAGTGCTGTACTTTGACCTCCCTAATTAATTTTACTGAGGTGAATTTGCCTTTTAAGAAAGGTGCCAAGAAGGGGCTCTGTTTCTAGCATTGGTCTTTATGATAGAGTGTTATCACAAAAAATTCAGTGTAGACAGAACTGATAATGGTGGTGGCAGGGATATAACACAGTAATGGCTCTTTCTGTGTACTACTAACGTCTCATCTTAGAAATGAACTGCCTTTGATGTAAATCAAGAACTGTTTCCTCGTTTTGCAGAGAGGAAATTGAGATAAATGGAGAAATAAAGAACAGTTAACTTGACTTCTGGTCTGGAATTCCAAAGATCTGACACAAAACTTAATTTGTAGTCTTCTATTACACTGATACGGCTGCAGATGGAACATTCATTAGCTTTTAGGGATAACAGGACCCTTTCAGGTCAGATTTGGGAATTCCCCTTGTATCTTTTTAAAGGAGCTTAAGGATAAAGCTCCTTATTACACATAAGATTTCTCCTTCTTATAATACCTAATTTATAAACAGTAATACACAGAAGTCCTGTTCAAAAGAATACAATGTGCGTTCCTTTTCTCTATGTATGTTGCAGGTGAAAGCTGCGGTTTGGGGAACACTGTATTAAACAGTATTTTCCTGTTGGAAATGTTTCAAAAATGAAGGGATTTTGTTGTTCTAGTGTACTCTCCTTTATGTATAAGGAAGCAGGTTATGTTAGTTTTCAACAACAAAGTGTTAATTTCTTTCAGTAAATCCTGGAAAGGTTTGCTGAAATTGTTAATGTTTATGGCATTTTCTGTATGAAAGATTTATCTATCTTTTGCATTAAGAATGGGATGTACATTTCTATTTTAGAAAGTATTTTTTAAATGTTATCTATGAGTAGTGTGTTACATGGATAGGTAGTTGACATTTAAGTGCGCATATTTTTGACAGATTCAGTTTCAAGTAACTTTTAATCCAAGTACACTATAAAAACACGGTTACTATTTCAGAGCTTTAATAACTTAATTGGGTAGAAATCTGCACTATATTTACCATTCGATCTTTCAGGAGATCAAAGAAGACAACTTTTTTCACTTTTTTTATTAGTGGTGCATTTCAATGTGAGAAATTGTTAACTCTTGCCATAAAGCTCTGAAACCATTTGTGAAGTTACATCTATAAAAGGAGGTAAAACAGTTGGACCTAAATATTTATTCTAAAAATGTATCCTTGAATTCTACTCAACTTATGCCAAGGCCAATTTGTGTGGCTGTACACAAAGATAAAGCTTGAGTTTATTCTGCACTATGTTTTATTGTAATACTTCAATTCCTCTTTCTGCCTTTTAAATTGTCAAATACCATCTTGTGAAACTATGTAATATGAAGATGTGCTTTTTTTTCTTCATAAAATGTAAGTTAATGTATTTTCTTACATCTTACATAAAAGTAACTTCTTATTTGTATGTTATAGAGATTTGAAGGCTGGCAACATTCTTCTGGGTGAAGATGGCTCTGTACAAATAGCAGGTAATGGCAGTGATTAAAAAAAAAGTAATGGCTAAATAAAAGAACAAGGAATATGAGGCTTGCTGAAGGACAATAGATAAGAGTTTTCCTATTGGCTTTTAACTGGAGAGTTGTAGCTGTAGGTGGTCCAGTTTTAGGATGTTTGGTTAATGATACATGACTTTAAAATTTACTCAGTATTTTTGTGTCCAAAGGCTGATATTCTTCCTTGTAAAATGTTTTTGCCTTGACAAAGTAAAATCTCCTTTCATCTTTGAAGAATAGGTACCTGATTTGTAACGTGAATTTTACCTTCTGGCTTCTTATTTGCAAAAAGTACTTTTAGGTCTTCCCCTTGTGACTGCTCGTTATTCTGCACCCCAAGTTTCTCTTATGAAAGAGACTTGACTTTTATGAGTTGACTTCACTTCTACTGTATGAAACCTTTGCTTTGTTACTGGTAGTTCAATTGGTTATAACTTTTTTTTTTTTTTTTCCCCAGATTTTGGTGTTAGTGCTTTTTTAGCTACAGGAGGCGATGTGACTCGTAACAAAGTAAGGAAAACATTTGTTGGTACTCCATGTTGGATGGCCCCTGAAGTGATGGAGCAGGTATTACAAATGTTTAAAAATAAAAATAAAATATTTAATTTTTATAACTTGAGAAATGACTATCTTGTTTTTTCTTGCTCTATTCCAGGTGCGAGGTTATGACTTCAAGGCTGATATGTGGAGTTTTGGGATAACAGCCATTGAGTTAGCAACAGGAGCAGCACCTTATCACAAATATCCTCCTATGAAAGTAACTGTCACTTTATATTAGTGCCAAAGGGTTCTAGAAATCAGTTTGTTCTGTCTTTAAACTTCTTTGGTTATTGCAATTTTTTTTTTCTATTGACAAATGGCTACAGGTAGAGCAACTTTGTGGATGCTGAATGTGGGTGGTGGTGGTGATGGTGTGTAGGCAGCTGTGTGAGAGCACCGACGTGCAAGGCACAGACTTATGAAACTGGGCTTTTGGGCCTTTCTTACTAGCATTTAAGATGGGTTGCTTCATTCACTTTTGAGGAAATAAAAAGAATAAACATGACACTTCTGTTGAAGGTAGAAAAGTATGTAGTATATTCTTTGTGATTTCTTCTGTCTTTCTGATTATGTTTTTGTGCCTATTGGCTTTTCAAATAGGGTGATGTAGAGGTTTTCTGAAAAAGTGTCTCCTCAATTTGGACATTTTTAAAGTGATTTAACACTTAAGAAGTGTTAAGACTTTACTGTATCCCTCTTGAGAGAGAATAGTGCTGGGTCATTAATTCTGATAAAATAATGGAAGTAACAGAGTTTTCTGGAAATGAGTTTTGTGCCTCCTCTTGAAGAAGAGTGTAGCCTATTAGGGAAGCGTGCTGGGAGAAAGGGGGGAAGCTTGTGGCTGATGTTTATTTTTCCTAGAGTAGTTAAAAAAATTAAAAGTTCACAACTAGGAAGATACACCATCCTATATAGTGTTAAGATGCTTAAATTTATAGCAACTGTTGTACACAGTAGTATTTCTGAAAAGGTGTAGAATGGTGTCTAACATAGCTGATAAAGGAATAATTGTTTTTTTATTATTTTTATAACATCCTAGAAAAATATATTTCATTATTCAGGCATGAAATCTGCATTTATGTCTGAAATACTGTAAATGTTGCAGTGTTGCACCACAGTGTTTTGTATTTTTTTGATCTGTGCAGTAGAAATGTCAATTGCAGCAACCTTGCTTACTATTCCTCTTTTTCTGTTTCACTCGTATGTGTTCACATTATTCTCACAAGTCCACACTGCAGGGATGCAACACCTGGGCACAACATTTTAAGTATTCTGACCACTTGTTCTCATCTATTTGGGGAATTTTAAAGTGGTGTATATATCTTTTATTTTTAATGTATTTTTTTTATCAGTTACACTGTTTGTTGTTCTGAGGACTGTATAGAAATGCTGTTGTGATGGTCAGCACTACTTTGTTTTAGTAGTAAATCAAGATATCTAAATATCTGAAGAATATTTCTTCTTTTAATTTCTGCATGTTTTGAATTGGTTTTGCTTACAGTACCTTTTCCTGGGTTTTACTGTAGGTGTTAATGCTGACATTGCAAAATGATCCTCCTACTTTAGAGACAGGTGTAGAGGACAAAGAGATGATGAAAAAGTATGGCAAATCCTTTAGAAAATTGATTTCATTATGCCTTCAAAAAGATCCTTCCAAAAGGTAAGTCATTATTTCCACACACCGTGGAATTACATTTTTTAAATGTACAGACTATTTAGGGTTCCAGTATTTAAACATCATTTTTAAGCATATGATTTGTGTTTTGTAATACGAACCTTCAGTATCTTCATATGGGGAGAAGAAATTGCCTCTGAATTGTCACTTATGCTTTATTCTATCTTTTTAACCTAATTTGATTATATTTAAATACGCTGTTCTCATCAAACAAAATTCTTGCTGTATATCTTAATTTCTCATTGGAGGCAAGATATAAATTTTTGTTTTCCATAATCTAACAAGACTGTTCAAGTTGATCAAACAGAGCTATTGATACCCAAACACTATGACCTCTTGGCCTTTACAATAATAATTAAAAAAAAAAAAATCTTGAGCTTTGTATTGTCTTTTAACTTTAATATCTCCAGAGAAAATTACTTATTAAGAGATATTTTTGTAATCTGAAGTGGGATGCTCTGAGCTTGTTCAGAGATCCTTGTATTACTGTAGGCGATTCTCTTTGTGTTTTGATTCTTCTTGCTGTATTTTTTGAATGGGGTAGCCAAGATGATGAAAATGTTAAACATTTATTTCAGAATTATTGCTGAAGTTTCCAGTTCCCAGAGGAATTCATTTATTTATTCTTTATTCGTTTTTATGCAGACCAAGTTTTGTAGGTGTCTTGCTGAAGAGGTGGAGGAGGCACATTCTAATTCACATTATTTCCTGAGGGTGTTCAATATAGCACTTTTCTAAAACATTCACAGCTGACATTTCTGGGGGAAAAAAAAAAAAAGATTATGGTCTGAAAGAGCCATTCTGACTGAGTAGTGTGATTAGGTCTATTATGGTATGTTCTTCATTTGCTGATGTTCCACTAGCATTAAGTCCAAGGTATGAAGCAAGTCAAATTTCAAGGATAACAGCAATACTGGAAGTAACACTAGACATATATAATTAAGAAAAAAAAAATAACTGCATGTTAAGATATTTATTCTTGAAATCCTTTAAATTCTGCTGTGACTGAAAGGTCATTTCAGATTCCTCAGTTCCTTCCAGTTGGTGGTCTTAGTATCAAGTCCTAATACTTTAAGCTTAGCACTGCAATTTGCTGGCTGCTTATGGATCAGAATGAAACATTCTGGCAAATCAAGTATAATCTTTGTCCAGAGAAGTGGATGCTCCCTCTTTGGAAATGTTCAAGGTCATAAGCAACCTGATCTAGTGGAAGGTATCCCCTGTCCATGCCAGTGGCTTTGGAACTAGATGAACTTTAAAAGTCCCTTCCAACCCAAACCATTCTATGATTCTCTTCTCTGAAGTTTCTTTTAAGTGTCCTATGTTCAGCAATTTTCGGGGAAAGATTAAATGAATAGGAAAACACAAGTATAAAATTAAAATGGCTTTCCTCCTCTCCTTGAATATACAATGCTAAGAGTTACCTGATACCAGTGTTGAAACAGTAGTGTTCTAACACATACAGTATTTTCATGGTCTAGATTGATCTGAACTGAACAACTAGCCCAGCATATAGGTGATGAGATCTACATGCCAGTTACTCTTAACTTGATAGAGAGCGTCCTTATATTGTAGGGTTATTGGTACATTTTATTTCTGCACAGTTGGAAGTTAGTTTTGCATTAGAGATACTTCCATAGTCATTGTGTAGGAGACTGCTTTTTCTGGCAAATTCTGTGACTGGCATTGCACTGTTGTCTCTCAGGCCATGATGTTTTTCTTTTGGGCTTCTGTATGTGAGTATTTCTCTCCTCAGTGAAAAGTATGTAGGTTACAGTCCTCGGCTGTAATTCACTCCTAAGTGTGTGTGGCTAACACGCCAAGAAAGCACTTTCAGATCTGTTCAGAAGTGTCTGGTATAAATAATGGTGGAGCAATGAACACTAGTTTGGATAAGACTTTACCAAGAATCTGGCTCTTAAAAGTGCATATCCCTGTTGAGAGAGAATAGTGCTGGGTCACAAAGATTTGTTTTAAAGTTTAAACTTGATTTGAGATTGAACTTGAAAACTCAATGTAGAAACTGATTTTTAAAAGGTTCTCCTTCCATTTTGCCCTTCCAAGGTTTGTGTGAATTACAGCTAAGATTGGTGGTTTTCACAGTGTCACCACTAAGAACTCCATTATTTTAGAGTCTGGTGCTTTGGAGTGGGAGAAAAATAAGTGCTCTGTGGAACTACTGTCTTATGTCTAAATTGAAAGCTTTTTGTTGATGACAGGAGTAGTTTCATTATTTCTAGCAGGAGCGAGCTGGGATACATTCCTGTTTTTCTTCACTTCCTCTTCAGATGTGTCCTCAGAGAAATTAACTAGTTCAGATTTTTTGTTCTTTTATTTTTCCATATGGAAACTTTCCACTGTCTTATCAAATCTAAGCTGTATCCACTCTATTGCTGTAATTCAAATGAAAAACCACAGCAGATGTTGCTTCTGTTCATTTGGAAATTAGGAATCTCGGAGATTCCAGCTCCCCTAGATTTAGCCATATTGAAATCAGCATTGGGTAGGGGCCTCAGTTCCTAATAGAAAGAATTAAAACAAAACAAAACAACACCTTAAGGATTTTATTTCATCCCAAGAGATGCTTTTCTTTCTCTCCAGAGTCTGCTTCAGTACCACAGTGTGGCTTTGTTTGGATGTGTAGCTTTATATCCCTGAAGCTAGGGGGACAAATCCCTTTATTGGAATCATTTCAGTATCTGTAAGATTATGAAAATCTGTTGGAAACTTCAAAAATATAAACTTGAAGGTGATTGGAAAAAATAGACTTGAACAGAACTGCAAGTAAGCGTGAAATGTGTAGGTTTTGACCTTACAACTATTGAATTGGTATTTGTTTAGTTGGGTGAAGCTCCTCATGGTTCTTTGGTTTTTGCATCAAATTAATAGTGTCAGTATTGTTTCTTGTGAATACCTGCTTGCATCACTGAAGAAAGAAGGCAATTAGCAAATATGATGTTACTGTTTGGAAAATGGAATTAACCTTTAATTGCTGTGGAGGAAAGTTTAGTTGCATTCATGGTGTCACTTGGGGAAGCATGTTTTACTTGACTTTTTCTTTTTTGTCCTTTTGTATTAAGGGTAAAATATATTTGCATTGAAAGAAAGAAAAATGTACAACTTAGTGATTTTTTGTGTGGTGGTGGTGTTTTTTTTTTTTGTATCTTTGCCATAGGGAAACATTTTTTTCATGTGTGGTAAGTATGTATGAATTAATTCAGTAGTTATTGCCATTCATTTCCCCATTCATACAGTACTAATTCAAAAGTATTAGAGACGTACCATTTAACTAACGTCCTGTACTGTATTCACTGAGAGGGGTCTTTGTTTTCTGTTCTAATTTATTATTGATCTTTCAGGCCCACAGCAGCAGAACTTTTAAAATGCAAATTTTTCCAGAAAGCCAAGGTAAAATGTTTAACCCTACAAGTAAATTTTGCTCTGCCTTAAAATCTACATGATTTTTCTTCTTCCCATGTATTGGTTTTTAACTTATGAAATGTTGGTTTTGCAGAATAGAGAATATCTGATTGAAAAGCTTCTCACTAGAACACCTAATATAGCACAAAGAGCAAAAAAGGTGAGTGTATTCACCTCTTTCTTGACTTGTATGCAAGGAAAGGCGGGGACTGTTTAATTCTCTTAAATTTTAATTGACTTGACTGAGCTGTTCTCTTATGCACTCCTTTATAGCCTTCTCAGGGTAGCCTTTGGGCATTTTGACTTTCTTGCTGGCCTTGTCAAAGTGATGCATGGTACATATCATTGTATGTGATATGATTATTTTTCCTCAGTCCCTTTTGGAAACTTATAGGTGAAATGGTTGTGCAAACGAAAAGTGGCAGATCTGCATGCATATACATGTAGGTTCATAAGCTGCATAACTAACTTGTATCTTTGATTATCTAAGGAAAAGCTAAAGGTACTGAAGTAGTAATTACTGACGACTAGCTCATTCTCTGGGTTATTTTAAACATTGAGTATTTAAAATGTGTAGAAGTCAGGGTCAAACTCTACAAGAGGGCTCCTGAGTTACTTGGACCTGTAAAGCCTTATTCCAAAATGTATGGAGTTAAACCATTACCTTAATTATTAACAATATTATTGATATTATTAATTAATAGTAATTATTAATTATTATCTTGAACTAATTATTATTAGTTATCCCACTACTATGGCATATGCTGATATTTCTGTGGTATCTTTGGCACTTGTTTAAAGGAGTTTACCAGGTGAGGTGCAGCAGAACTAAAAAATTCTTAACAGGTAAATATTTTAAAACTTAAATAATGAAGCAAGCTACTGTTCATAAGAGCTACTAGACAGGAATGAATGTAGACTCCTGCTTTGTAGTCTATGAGAAGTTAAACTTAATTCCAAACAAACTCACAATATAGGTTCAGTATGAGTAAGCTGCTCAGATTGCTAAACCTCTGCAGGTATCAAGACAAAGTGCTCAGTCTAACTTTCTCAAAGTCATCTTTCTGAGAAGATGTTTGAAGGAGGGTGTTTCCAGGAAAGAACTGTTGCAGCCTTTCGTGACACACCAGTTCCAGGGTTATTGGACATCTGTAGAACTTCTTATGTGTTCTTAGCAGTGAACTGAACTGATGCTTGTAACATTTTGTTGTCTTTGTGAATGTTTCATCTAATTGTTTCTATAGCTGGTGTTCTGTGATAGGAAGAGGCTGTCAGTGGGTTCAGTATAGTATGAGTTCTTTCTAATTCTTCTCTTAGGTAGAAGCAATTTGGGAAATCAGTGGCAACGGTTGGACTTTGAGAGGCTGGAAAACAAAGCTGGAAAGAGAGGGCTTCTTGTAGTGTAGGGGTAGTAGTAGCTTGTTGAGCTGTGCACTATCTGCAAAATGCAAAGTTCAGCTGTTTGGCCATGTGGTGGCAGCAATGCCCACATAAAAATTGCCCTAACTGGAGAGAGAAAAATAAGTAGAGAGAGCATTTTTTCATTTTCCTTCTTGGGCATTGTAGGAGTAATTTAGGCATGCTCTAGTACTAACTCTGTTTCCAACAGAGCATGGACCTCATAGAATTTCTCTCAGTTGAGTCCTCAGGTCAGCTATAGGAGCTGCATGTTAACTCATATATACCCATGTACATATACTGATTTTTTTAAGTTAGCATCTGGAATTGCAAAATGAATTCATAGTAGCTTCCCTTGTGCCATCAGCAACAGCTTGTTGAATGTTTTTTGTACAACTCTTCTTAATTTGGAGGAGAAGTGATTCTTAATAAGTAAAAGCTGAATGATGCTAGAGTAATAAATTATAGGTCTTTCAATTGCAGCATAAAATAATAAAAAAAAAGGTTTTAGCTTGTGAAAATACTAAATTATTTACATTTTACAATATTAAAATTCATTAGGAATTTAAAATTTAATTCACTTACAACTTTGCATGTAGCTGCTGTTTTAAGATACTATAAAATATAAATGTATTTTAATATTAAAACTGTGTGTTTTGGTTTTTTTTCTTTGTTTAAATAAAAAAGCTTTAAGCAGAGTTTGGTTGCTCTAACATTCATGTAACATGTAAAATGTCTAAGAGGTCACCCTTGGAAAGAACAACCCTTGTAATGGAAAAAAGAATGTCTCTGGGTAAGAGATAGGAAGGAACTGGTGTCATCACTGTTTCAATTATCTTCTGTAGCACTGGGTAAGAAATGCCTGTAACTAATGATCTACAGTACCACTGTCGGTGCAGGTATTTGATCTGCCCTGTAGTAATTTATTTTTTCTTGCACTTACTGCACGTACAGTTACTTTGCTTTGTTGCTCAGAACTCCAGCCTCAGTGTAGTTTTAACTTTAAATTCTTTTCTCTTGACATAGTATTCTCATGTTTTGCTAATGTATTTACAACTTACTTTTGGTGGCAGTTTTGACTAAATATGAATACAGGCCTGTTTGTGAAATCACAGGTACACATGGTCTTGTATGTGTGAGGAAAACATTCAAGCCTGTAAAGATGCTTCCTATTATAAAAAACAAATGGATAAGATTCAACAAGTCTTACAGCTTGGGTTGAAACTACTGTGTTGTAAACTACATTGTTGTGCATGTATTACCCATGTGCCTTTGTTTGTTTTTAATTGTGTTAATCTTGAAATGATGCCTCTTCTTGGTACTTCAGGTAATCAAGGATAACGTTAAAACACTTCTAGAATTGACTGGCCCAGGAGGAACGTATCTTGCCTGTTTATGTGCAGAACCTGCTTAAATGCATATCAGTACCGATCTACAAGAACAGGTGTTACGCTATGCAACTTGGCCATTTAGGGTTTTGTTAATGTTACTACTCAGTTGGGAGACCATTGCTGGTGTCTAGAAAAACTGGAGAAATGGCTGCTCCAAACGCAGTGCGGTCTGACAAGCAGGGGACAGCTCTCCAAGGCCACACTTTTGTTGCTGATTGAAATGTGGGAGGCCTGACTGAAGCTTCTTGCTTGTTGGATGGTGTTATGGTAGAGAAGCCTGTCCTGTCCTGCTTAGATCAGGGCTGTGTTACACCCCTGTTAAGCTCTTGCTAAGCTGTTGTATAGATACATGTTTTAACACGTGTTGAAGTAGTTTTAGTTTTGGACTGAACTCTAAGTTTTATTTCATTTGTGACTAAAATTGCTGTATTGGAACAGAGGAGGTTAGAAGCAGCTTCCAGAATTCCACAGTCAGCTTTGAAATCTGGTCAAACTAAAAAATTAATTACTACTGTACGTACTCTGTATGCCCAAAGGGCATTTGTCAATTCTGTGATTTTTATAATCCCATTTCTTTAATTTTGAGAACCTCCTGCATAATTGCCACTTTTACAAAATGAACAGGGAAAAAGGTGTGCCTGAGTTACATTTAATATCTATCTGAACTGTTACTAGTTAAAAAAACAAAACAACAACAACAAAAAAAAACACAATTCTGAGTAATTGGGCTTGAATTCTATTTTTGGGAAGGTGCTATTGCACTGCATTGTTAATAGAAGCTCTTTAAACCTTAGAGTTGTAAGTTAATGGGGAAAAAAATGACAGCATAAAGAGATGATTAGTGTGAGTGATACCAGTTTTTATTAAAATTTCAGTAGAAATACCCTTACTGATGGGTTGAAATTCTAGGTCTGTGGTAGAGCTAATTAAGGGAAATGGATCCGAATGGCATGTTATCCTGTTAAAGAAATTAACAATCCTAGTAGGGAGAGCAGTATGATACGACCTAAGCAAGGCATCATTTGCAACATTTGCATGTTGCAGTGATGGATTTGATCTAATAGAAGCTCTTCACCAAGGGTTGGTGTTCATACAGCTGTGTTCCAGACCTTCTGTAAAGCAGAGAGCAACACTAATCTGAGCCCAGATTATTAATAAAAGCATATATTCATTGCTGTGATTCTTGACGCTTCAAAAAATGCTTACCTCATTATGGCTGATATATAAGGAGAATGGACAGATGCTGTCCTGGTATGATTTTTCTGGAAAACAGCAACTGAATGATAAGTATGTATTGGCAAGACTCTGTTGGGGAGGCCACTCCACCGCAGAGTATTAACTCCTCAGTTTACCCGTAGAACTGCTACAAATAAAAGCAAAAACAAAGAAAAAAACAGTGCAGCTATTTTTAATGATGTTGAATATTACTAAAAAAATAGAGGAGAAAAGGGCATTGTCTTTTTTGCAAGGTTTGTTTTCAAGATGTTGAAAGTAAAAATTAACAGAAACACTTCCCACGAAATGTGATTTTTTGGAGGTCAAATTTACATAATCGGAAAGTTATGCCTCCATTTGTGGTTGGTGGAATCGGAAAATGTTTTAAGAGGTGGACACTTACAGTTTCATCAGCTTTGTTTTAACACAAAACAAAAAGAAAAGACTGCGGTCAACATTTGTCAGTTACACTTAAATGCGGTTGTGCCATAAGATACGAAGAACTTCATATGATGTATATGGGTTCGCCCATCTGTTCTTTCATAGAATGGTTTTGCCATTTGTAGAGAGTTCAGGAAGCTGGATTTTGTGCTCTTAAATGAAGCTAATCTGTTAGAGAACAGACAGGCTTTAAAAGGAACTATGGAATAGTTGTCTCTTTGAGTCTTTTATGCTTCAGATGGCTGTAAACGTTTTTATAATACATGTAACTTGTATTATTTTTTTTTTGGTGGCATTTAAAAGCTTACATGCAATTTATCTTAACCATTAAAAAGTAATCCAACTTTGTATTGGATAGTGTTTTCCAGTTCTTAAAACATCATAGTTCAACTTCAGAATTCATTTATGTAGTGAAATAGCCATCGTCATTCGTGAATGAGCAGATCGGTGCTGTTACTCCAATGTTGTGTTCGTAACCTCTTGACCCATTCAAAAATGTCTAGACCATGACTAACATGAAGTTGGTGAATAATGAGAACTTCTTTTGTTAGACCAGCAACTTAAATACTTAACATTTATCTAAGTTGTTGAAACTTAATACTGGAGGAGAGTTTCATTACCTTGAAATGCAAGTGTAGTATATCCTTAGAGACCCTGTTGAATGAGTTCTGGCTAAAGACTTGAGACAGCATAAAGAAACTGCATGATGCTGATGGTATATTCTTTGATCAGGAGGTCTTGTAATGGTATTCTTAAAGTTGTTGGGGAGAATGGGTCAAGCAGGACATCCTTGAGATTATGCTGCCCAGTGGTATTACACAGGAATTAATTTTAGCTGAAAAGTGCTTCTGGCTCGAGAAGTTAAAATGATGGAAAGAACTGGAAACTTCAAGGTTTTAATCAGAACAGGCAGTTTAAGGCTCGCAGATTAGAAAGATGGACTGGAATAGTAATAGTGTGCAGGCAAAGTTCAACTTATGCTTAGCACTGAAGAGTAGCTCCAGGAGAAGATTGCTCACCTGCGCATGCACAGTTTGAATACAGTTAGGTAGTATGTAAAATGAAAAGGGAAAAAAGTCAACTGAATTACAAAGCTTGTGCATCTTAACTGCTGTGTGGGAGAGCCGCAGACAGCAGAGGGCAGCCGTATCTAACACAGTGCAAGTTCAGTCCTTGTAGTCATGAAGGCTGTGGGAACGTTGCAAAGTTAGAAGCTCCTCTAGGTCTGCAATGTTAAATGCTAAAGCCTGGTAAAATGTGTGCTGTTTATGTCATACTAAAATATAAACACTGGAGTTTTAAATACTTGGATTTTATGAAAATTGTAGATTTATGCTCGTTATTTTCATGATCATTTATAACTTTTTTGAGAACTATACTCATTTTTTTGTTGTTTTGAACAGCTTAATTCCTTTTAAGTGTCTTGAATAAGCTTGGGTCTCTTTAATACCTTCATTTTCCTCTCTCTGATTGCTCCCCTGTATTCAATGTGTAAACTATGTGTGTAGGTAAGTGTTCCTGGCAATTTTCTTATTTCGTGGCCCTGCCTTCCTCTCTCAGTTTTTCTGTCACATTCATCATCTGAGCATGATACTGTTTGTGTTTGGCTTTGAAAACAAACCAGTATCATATGTGTTTAAAGCAAATTCTTTTTTTTTTAAATATATATATATTTTTTTAATAAACATGTCTGTTCTTTGACTTGTGCCGTTTTATCCATTAAATAAAAGAGACACTATTCAAGAAGCAGTAGAGAGTTAAGGAAGTCCTATGCAATTTGAAATTATCCATCTCTTTCATGCATTGTTCTTTTGTGAAAAAAAAAAAGAAAAAGTAATGATCTTGCATTTATTGACTTGAAATTTCCAGTGTAAATGATTCCAGTAGCGAGTAAAATTGGTAATTTAGAGATTTGAAAAAAATTTATGCGCTAAATGACTTAGGTGCCATTTCAGTTTTTGCAGTCCTTTGTGCTGTATTAAGGAAGAAATAAGTAGTTGTGAATTTGCATTAGTGTCTCACAGTTTTCCCTTATTGACTTGTCTCTCTGAAGGTAATTATATATGTTTCATAAACATGACATTGCACACTTCAAAGTAAACAGCTGTTTTGCAAGGGTGTGCTGGATAGCTGCTAATACATACTTTAATTCTAACAGAAGAAGTACAGTTAATTATTGAAGACAAATAATGTGGGATCAAAATTTGATTTTGAAAGCCTAATACTGAAGTAAATGAAACATTATGATCATAATTCTAATATGAAATTTTAAATGGGATAACAACTTCTATCAGTGTTTCCATGTTTTGTGGACACCAGTTACACTTGACTTGGAATTGAAAAATTCAGTTGGAATTAAAAGTTTATTGGATTTGAAGGATACCACAAGATTTCCTTTATCTTGTGAGATAATGTATATGTGAGAATGTTCACTGCTCATGCTTTTTCTGACTTAGGACATACAACCTGAAGTTCTGATGATGCTTTGTCTCCTCTGGCTAGGTCACCTTGGAATACTGAAATTCAAAACTTTCAGACTTGAGAGCACGGGAGATGTGTACACCAAATAACATGTTTGCTTCCCAGGAGCTTCTCTGTGTTCTTAATTCAAAAGGTTCTTTTCTCTTACATATGTAATATACCCACCAGAAATGCCTAAAGAAACTTCCCAGCAACAGCAAAACCTTCAGTCATCTGTGTCTTCTCAATCTGCTCCTTATGCAGAACCTAGATGTGGTTGTACAACATAGAGAAGCAATAACAATTAATGTGATGTAGAACATGAATTGTAACTTTGCTTAATTTTCAAGGTTCAGGACCAGCCTTACCTATCATTTTCTGCAGGTATGAATTGTAACCCTAGGAATGTTTCCATAATGTGGAGACGTGGGTGGCATAATAGAGAATTTGAAGCTACCTGTACAGTGAAAGATGTGATGCAGCAAACCTCCCCAGATCTTGCAAGGGGAAAGGACTTACATAGTCCTGAGTGATGGCTTGCACCTAACAGAATTTTAATTCAGAGATGAGAGTCCAAATTAGTGTCTGGCCCTGAAAGAGCAGAATTATTGCAGAATTGGTTTCTATGTCAGGTTAAAATGCTTGCTGTCAAAACAGCGGCTTAGGCCTCCCTGCATTTAAAAAAACAAACAACAACACAACAACAACAACAACAAATGTTCCTGCACATAAATATAAAACATTTAGAGTTCTGTCTAACTACTTTTGCAAGTAGGACAAAAAAAAAATCTAGAAAAGGTGCTTCCACATAAGGATTTGTATTGTGCAGAGAGGCTTAAGAGAAGGGAAAGCAAACATCAAAACAGCAATTTACTGTAGTATCTTAACACCTGATTCTTACAGAGCAGAAATATTTGGATGTTATTTTAATAAGGTAGTGGTACATTCCATTAATAATGATAATCTGCATAGATATTGGTGAGGGAAAAAATAACCCTTCCCAATTACATTTTGGGGTTTGGAGGATGTTTTGGCTTACGTCAGAGTTGAAATGAAACTTCCCAACATAATGAACTCTTATGAGTTCTTATGGGGAGCGTAATAACCAACAGCGAAGGGATTGGGGTATCCACAGGCCTTTAAGACTCAGTTGAATGGCGACTTCCTCCATCTCTTGAGGAAACATCATGACTATTGAACAGAGGATGACATATACACAGGGGAATTCAGGCTCTCTCCTGTACCTCAGATTCTTTTTGGAAAAATGTGATTACAGCGTAGATGTTCATATGCAAAATGAATGATGGTCTTTTGCATGAAAATATTTTGTAGAAAAGTGAATTCTCCAATATCTGCCTTTTACCCCAAGTGCTAAGCTGTGATTAAATTTAGAACTGTTTTAAGCAAAAGGTTTGTGCTCTGATTGGATAAATTTGATGGGAAGCTGATTTCCTTCATTGCATTGCAATGCAAATAGATGCATAGATGTGAGGATTTAAATTAGTTTATGTATCTTGGGAAACATTCAGGAAAGATTTGAAAGAGGCCTGAAGGTAAAGTTTGTAAAACCTGATTGCTCAACAGGCTTAAGATGAGTATGGAGGGAACTGGTGTGTTTCTTAGAGAAATGCACAGAGTAAAATCTGCTAAAAACCAGAATTGTGTTCTGTAATGTCCTATTCCTCTTTTTTTCCTGCAAAGGTAACAGGAGCAAATGGCATGGTAAATTTCTTAGGTTGAATCTGTATGAGAGGTGAAGCTTTTGAGCCTTGTGATTTAAAAAAAAAAGGGGGTGGTGGTGAAGGGGGTATAAACAGAAAACCTACCTACCTCATCAATTACCAATTAATACTAGCACTTTAAAGAGCAATTCAGCCATCTTATCTTTAAGAAATTCTGGGGATCTGTAATAGTGGTGTCCTATCTCCTGCAAGAACCATTACACAGTTTTAGGGAAAGGTTGAAATGTACAGCATTGTTTAAGTGGTTCCTCCTTGCTTCTAGCAACAAATCAGAGTGCCTATATTTAATGTTTACGTTCCTCTTATTATGTTAAACGGCAACTGATGATCCAGTTACTTTTGAATCCATAACATAGGGCAATTGTAGTATGATGATGTGAGAAAACAACGTTCTGGTTGGTGGTTGTTTTTTTTTTTTTTTTTTTCTTGACAGATTTATGTTCAAGCTGTCTGGAATAAACTGGACTTCTTTATGAAGTTTCTATTGGGTAGCTGGATAGTAGGATTCTGTTGCATGTGTGTATATATATATATATATTAAAGAAATAAGGCATGTTTAGGATTTATTTTCTGTGGCTGATAAACAGTGATGGTTTTCATTGTTTGTGTGCCACGAACCAGTGAAAAAACATTGATTCTAATGATGATTTTATAAAATTTCAGAATCACAAACGCTTGAACTTTGATTTGTTTAATCTGTTGTCTGGCAAATTTGTTCAAGTGAAGTTTTGTCTAGTTTAGTGTGAATTTTTGTAAATTTTCCATAGTTATGTGACTACACAAATTTATTTGAAGGCATTTGGAAATTAGAGTCATGGACTAACTTACTCAAGAAGCAAAGGACAGATGCTGAATTTGTTTGGAATTCTTTTTATCACTTGCGTTTGAGTTTGTATTTGCGTTTTTCAAGCTGGTTTATCCTTTGAGATTTGACTGAGGCATGTAAGTGTCATTCCACCAAGACTGTTTATTGCTGTTCCTATTAAATAGATGATCCTGTATCAGGGCATCTTTTTGAACACAGTAGAGAAGAAAAGATTGCTTACAAATGTGCTTGTTAGCTTCTTTTGGAGTTCCTGTTGGTGTGCTTGTGTTTATCCATGTTGACAGGTGTCCTTCATGTCTTTAGTCTGTATAACTTATGTCCAGTATTAACACTGAGTATTTCCTATTACTCCCCCTCTCTTACTGAAAGAGCTGGGGTATAACTGATGTTAATGCAAGATGCAGGGGAAAGCATCAGTTACTCCCATACTTGGAAGTTTACCAGGTGATGGTAACTGTGTGTTCTTGGCCTTTGTCAATTATCTGGGAAACTTGAGCTTTTTTTTTTCTTCCTCAAGTGAAGAGAGATTTAATATTGGCTTTTTTTTTTTTTTTTTTTTTTTTTTTTTGTGAGGCTTTCCATTAATTCTTGAATCCAAAAGCTGCTATAATTTCATATGCTAAAAAAGCTACTCAAGACACTGTTTTGAAAATTCTGTAGTTTTTGCTGCCATTGCAAAGGTTGTGTGAAGTAATGACAATAAATATTTGAGAGTAATTGAGTGTAATAAATAGGAAAGTGTTCTTAAGTGTAAAATTTAACAGCATGATCTTTGTAATAACACAATAATTTTCTTGAATAAAATCTTGGAGCTTTTTGAAGCAGTAGAAAAGATAATGTCATGAGGAACAATTCTCTAAACACTTATTCATTTTTGTAGAACTGTTTCCTTGTCTCCTCTCCAGTAAGCTTAGTGTTAATTGTATTTTCCCCCTATCTGGGGACATGCCACCAGACCAATGCTAACTTCTTCACCTTTATGTTTGTTTTTTTTTCAAAAAGCCCTTGAAATTCAGGAATAAATTAATCAGCTTTCTTGGAATAGGCAGAATATTTAGTTGAATGAACACCATACTGCTTTTCTGAGCTAATGTTTGTATTGTCTTTCCTGCAGCCATGATTGCGGCAGTGAGTTCTGACCACTCTTATTTTTCTGTTATAAAAGCAGTAACTGTCTTGTAGCAGGGAGCAAAGCATGTACAAAGTGCCGTGCTGGTAAAGGTGTCTTTAGGAGAAAGCCTGCCTCTGGAAGAGGGAGAAGTCTTTAGGGTCTTTCTTTTTCCAGCATCAAAGTCAAATCAGGCCTCTTACTAGGACAAACTGCAGAAAATGTGTGTTTAAATAACCAGCTTGTCATTCTCACTCTCTAGGGCATGTTGGATCGTGTATGTCTTGAATACTGTATTAGCAGATGTAGCTGAACAGCATCAGTGGTAAAATAAAACACAATTTTATCTCTAGAAGAAGCTAAGCTATTTGATTCCATGAGATGCAAGATCTCCAGGAGAATGTGTGTTTTTTTTTTTTTTTTTGTTTTTTGTTTTTTTTTTTTTTTAATAATGATGAAGATTTTCCACTTGGGAATCTACAGCACGCAAACTGTAGAATAGCAGACTGTTACATAGCTAGGAAATAATAGGGAGCATGATTAGGGTTCCATGAAGGCTTCTGCAGATGTTGGAAATGGATGGCATTTACACATTTGCCTCTTTTTAAGAATTTAGGAACAAATTGCTTTTGGAATGTAAGTTACCTGTGCATGGAGCATGGTAGTGGTATCTTCTATATAACTGAAGTGTTCAGTGCTCATTAGTGCTGTGAATTTTGCTCGCACAAATGCACCTCGTTTGTCATATTTTCAGGTTACCTTTACTTTTTTTGGGGGACAGAGTTAAAAAATATTATAAATCCGGATGTGATTCTATCCCAAGTCTTCAGTTGCTAGAGACTTTAATGTTAAATATTAAAGCTTAAATATTTGAAATACTGGACAAATCAGTAGTCTTTCTATTGAATGAGGAAGACAATAGATGCATAGTTATTACTCATACTGAAAAAAAAAGGTTTTAAATGTGATCTAGATGATGTGCTCTACCATGTATGAAATGCAGTAGTTTTTTCTTTATGCCTGTATTCAGTGGCATCCCACAGTATGTCCTTTTTGTTTTAAAAAATTAGCTGCTGAAATAAAACACTAAATGTGTAACCAGGCCAAGTTCTTTTTTATTTTGAGTAGCTGTGAATAAGGAAGTAGAAAGATCTTAACATTCAGAAAACATTCATTCCCTTCCTTGTCCCCCTACAAAAATAAACTTGTAAAGAGATTGCAGAAGCAAAAGAATCAGTGATGAATAATAGATTCTTCTTCCCCCACTCTCTGTAATATCTACATATAGCAAGCACTTCAGTGCCTAGAAGACAACAATTTCTTTTGCTTCCTTGTCGTATTCTGCTTTTCATCAAACTTTGGGAAAGTGGGCAACTTCTGCATTCTGATGCTAGAGTTCTCTCTGTATCAGGCAACCTTTGAGCTAACTGTTGATGGTTAAGATTTACAGTTGCTATGTTCATTTGGTTAAGCAGACTTTCTCCCGGAAAGCTTATGCATGCTATTTTTTTGTCAAGAATATTAATGATCTGTATCCTACTTTAAAAGGGCAAGGGCAAATAATTTTGTCAACAGACTAATTTATTCTTGTATCTTTGTGACTCTGATGTGAATCTTATTCAGGAATAACCAGCATACACAGTAATAACTTGTTATCTAATAATTTTGTGGTAGTTACATTTTTTTCTCTCATTGTCTAAGCATTCTGTGTTCCAGCTGATGTTCATATTGTCTCTTCCACAGCTGTGGTAATGCTGGCAATGTCTTAAGTTCTTCTTCCTACAGAGTGTATTTAGTTGCAGATTACAATGTTCTCAGCTGCGTTTGTCTTGGGTGCAGTTTAAATGCCAGTCATTCAAACCCATTTTTTATTCCCTGTGTGCTCTTCTGATTTATGTGAAATATGTTTTCTAATATGTGTTAATTTGTCTTTGTTAAGCTGAAGGCTTGCATTGTTTTCTTTATTAGCTAAAGTTATGAATCAGTTTAGTTCTGTTTTGGAAGGAGCATTTTGTTTTTTTTTAAAACAATAAACCCCAATTTAGAATTGTGCATGTTTTAACTTGTTTCCGTTTCCCTCTGAATTATTTACTGAGAGATAATCCTTGCATAAAGAGCCATCAATGCTGTGAATTTTGACTAAAGCTGATGGAGAAATTGCAGTTGCATGCCATGTAGAAGAACTTCCTATTTTCATAGAAATAAAAAAAGTTTGTATTGGTTTCATGCTGTCTCAGATTTGATTTGTGGACTTGAATAAATCACTACATTTGTCTGTGTCTTTATTTTCTTTCATAAAAATAGGAGGCCTGCACCAAGATAAGAGAAATATATAGAATATTCTGAACTGCTTTAATCATACGGGCCAAATGCATGCATGCTGCTTTTTAACAGTCTTGTAATAGTATTTGAAATGATAAACCGATAGTAAAATTGCAGGTACTTATTTGCAAGATTCCAAATACAACCACTGTGATGTATTCTTGCTAGGACAAGTGCTAAGATTGTTGTTCTTATTCCCCTTCCTTTCTCATCAAAATTAATGTGCTAAAGCAGTACATTCTCTGAGGCTGGTTGATACTTGTGCCTTTGGGAGGCTTTTTCATGCTCCCTTTGATCACACTGCCCTCACACAAGAAAGAGAACCTGCATCAGGATCTCAGAAGGGTGTTCCAACTACTTAGTCATGATGCAAGAATTTATTAATGACTTAAGGCTATTCTGCTTCACAGAAGAAAGTTGAGAACAAGAGCTCTTGTCCAAAGAGATGACGTTTCATTGAGGAATGGAATCTGATTTGTTCCAATCCAGTGATAAGTGACCTTCCATTAGTTTTCTTACAAGCAACCATTATAAGGTATAAGGTCTGTCTTAAGTGATGCTGGCCTAAGCAAAGTTAATTTCTGAAGTGCTGGATGAACAGGTAAGAAAACTCCACAGTCTGGATCTTAAAGAGAATATGGAATTCAAGCTACCTGTAGTACTAATGGCTCATGTCGCTTGAAGACAAATGCCCATTCTCATGCTGCTGGGTTTCTCTGCAAATTTCATCACCAACACAAGAAAGACTGGAGAGTTGGGCTGAAGTCCACTGACTGTTTTAGACTTGCATATGAATATCTACAGACATGTCATCTTTCCAGCAGTTTGAATCATGAATTTACAATCACGGCAAACTGTGGATTCAGTTTCCAAATATATCTTTAGTCTTGACACCCAAATTCCCACCTTCTTCCCCCTCCCACTGTACAAATGAAGAATATGGTGCATTGTTTGCAGGGTAGTTCATGTGAGTCAAATGTTACAATTTATTTTTGCAAGATAAAACTAGAAGAAAATAGTTCTGTCTCATCACTCAAGGGTAAAGTGTCATTGAATCTCATCAAAAGTTTTGATAAACAGGACACAATCTGGGCTTGCTTGCTTTCTTGATCACTGTATGGCATCCTTTGAGAGCTACGCAGTACTCATCCCTAAGTTATGTCTTCAAACCATACTTGTCTTAGGTACTTAAGCTTTCTTCTGCCTTGTCTTCAGGTAAATTTTCCCCTACCAGGATAGAGGTTCCGTTCCCCCGCCTAGAAGTTGGGATGAGTGCTCTGTCTTGCATACACTTGATGTTACTCATTTTCATTAGTTTCCTGTAACACTTCATTTTGAAGGCAGAAAAGCTCTACTGTCTGTATTTAAGTTTATCTTCAACATGCATTTCAGAAAACAAAAACCACTTTTGTTGAGCAGGAGCTGGGAGTTAAGATCTGTCAGAAATAGAAGAGATTCTCTAAGTGGGATTTGAGATGTCCTGAGAGAGGTGTTCTTGTTTCACTGTCTCTGTGAATTTGGGTAGGAATACCCATGCTGTTTGAAAATATCTTGATGTTATTGCTGTCAGTTTATGTGATCTCTTCAGATCTGCTGCTGTCTCTACCATTTTTTCCACAGTTTCTTGCAGTGACCAAGTGAAGCTGAGATTATTGGCAAAGCATAGGTGGATACTTTTTGCAGTGGTGAACATAGGTTTCTGTAGCCTTCCATCTGTACCCATCCAGTTTATATTTTTCTGATAACAATTGAGTGTTAAGTAGTCCATCAGGTCCCCACAAACTCTCATAATCACTTCTGTATAGTGATTTTTTGTTGGCCCGTTGCACTGTTTTTTCATAAACTTTTACAAGCTGAAGCATTTCAAAGAAGGTCATGCTGCCAACTGCCATAGGAAAGAATCTGTAAGCTTTCCCATAAGGGGCTGCAGTTTGATGGGATAAAATGGGATAATTTTTTCCTCCTTCTCCCTCAATGGGCGGTACCTGAATATTTTTGCTACAGATGTGCGGTACCTGTGGCACGGATTCCTGCTGTTGTATTGTGGAATGTGAATGCTGAACAAGCTACAGTTAGTACATGTATGTGTTCTTCAGCAAAGTGCTTCTCTCTATTACACAACCATTTTGTAAATTGAAAGGAAATGATCATAACACAAAGCTGTGGAAGAATGTTGTCTAGAAAAATATCTGCTTTGTTACCAGTTCGATTAAGATGCATTTCAAACATAATTATAGCAATGGGGCCAGTAGGTAATTGTTTATCTCTGTTCCTTTTTCTTCATTTTCCTCTGCTGGTAGGCCTGTTATAATTGCCCTTAGTGTACATGCTAGAAAAAAGAATTTTCTGTGTTTTTTGTTTTGTAGTCCTGTAAGCAAGAAAATAATATAGAGCTGTACTGGACTGATGAACATTTCAAGAGTAATCTAAGTGTCAGAAAGACTTGATTATTAGGTAGTGAAAAATCTCCTGAAGATTATAGCATAGGCACTTGATGTACCTTATAAAAATATGCTTGCTTTCATCATCCATGTTGTTTCATGAGATGGTTAAAAACAGGTTAAAGATTATATTGCGTCCTTGTAAATCAGGACTTAGGAGAGCACAAAAGACAGATCTTTGGTGCCGAAAGGCAAGTGTTTAAGAACAAGTGGTAAAATTGATTTCATTTATCCTGTAGTTATCAAAAGTATGATCACTGTGTTATGAACTGTATGAAGATTGCAATGGCTGCTGCCCCCCTCCCTGATTCGTATATCTAATGTGGTGCTAATATGGTGTCCAAACTCTGTAATTGTCATTACAATGCTATTACATACTATTTCAAAGAAAAAAAAAAGGCTAGTGTTTTTTTCACAGATTGGTGGGCTGAGTCAGCTCACTGTGCAGCCACAGTGGTTCCAGGATGGAGGTATAGGATTGTGCAAGGCTGGTGGATGTCCCCTGACTGTGACTTCCCATAGTAACAAATTCTTAGATTATCTTGACTGCCATATCTTTGCCCTCTAAGGTCCTTCTCTGGCTGCTGCTCCAAATTCAAAGACTGAAAAGCTTTGGGTGCATAATGTACATTTTAGTCCTTTACATTTTGTGGTGTGTTTTATTCCATTGCCTTTTTTTTTTTTTTTTCATTCAAATACAAGTTGAAGATAGCTGTTTCCTAAAGTACTTCATATCTGTAAGCATTTTAACAAATGTGCAATGAGGAAAACAATAGAAAATCTGAATAGAAACAGCTCTACTAGTATTAAAAGTCTGTTGATTAGTATGTATTACAACAGAAACTTAAGCTAATATATTTTCATCCACTACATGATATTAGCTACATGGGTTTATGATGGGAGAAGAGACAATCAATTTGCTCATATGGTGTGCCTCTCTTGCTCTGAGCCACACCTAAGATACATGCCTTCCCTATATGACTGAATCATTGTGTCTTTTAACAGAACTGAGACTGAGAAAAACCACTCTTAATAAAAAATTCCACAACTTCATTTCTGAGAGAATGCAAATGTTAAGCATCTACCAAAAAAAAAAAAAAAAAAAGAAGGTGTGGTAGACAACAACTTTGCATTTTTGAAGGTTGAATAAGGTTGGGGACTTTACTATAGCAGAAATCAGGATTTCCTGTGAATGGTAGGAATCAGTCTGATGAGCAAAGTACAAGTCTAGACTTTTGTTTGTCTGCCTTTAGACACCTTTCAAGAAAATCATTTAATCTAACACAATACTTTATTTTGAAGTAACTTACTTTCTTTTCCTTGAGCCATTTGTTTATTGCTTATTAAAAGGCAATCTATTTAAAATCTTGAAATGCACTCTATCTTCATCAGTAAAGCTTTCTGCTATAACTCTGCTAGCATCATTAAGCTCCATTAAAATCATTCTAGTTAGAATAAGTCTTCTGAACAACTGAAAATGGATGCAGAAGAGATTTTGATCAGTGCATGTAGTATGTGAATGTCTCTGTAAAACATTCTTTTCTTTTTGAAAAACATGTTTTTGCTTGTGGTTGATGTCCTCTCATAGGTTAGTATATAGTTGTTGGGGAAAATGCTTGTGCAATTGCACAGACTACATCAGGACTGTTCCTTGTAGGACAATAAATGGTAACGGCAAATGCCAGGCAAATTGCCTGCTCTGAGTTCCCTTGTTTCCCTGGTCATGTGGACAGCAAGAACCCACTGATTGTGCAGCTGTAGCTAAAACTGGTGCATTAGGAGCCTGGTATTGGAAACAGGAAGGGTAATGCAGAATTTGTCCTTAAGCGACGGAGCAGGATATTCCTCTGATGGTCTGTACAGTTTTCTGCATTGAATCCACTTTTAATGGATTGTGCAGGAGAGAAACTAAGGGAGGAATATGAAATGACCAGAGATGTCAGGTATTCGATTATGCTAGGAACTCCTCCTATAAACTAAACAAAAGTGTATAGAATAATAATCATGAAGAGCTGTTGATTAACCAGAACATCAGTGAAGACAAAAGATGTCTGTGTAATGGAGAGCACTTAATACTTTTGTAGGTTAGACGAGTACCGGGTTCCAGTGGTCACCTCCATAAAACAGAGGATGGAGACTGGGAATGGAGTGATGATGAAATGGATGAGAAGAGTGAGGAAGGCAAAGCTGCTGTTTCTCAGGAAAAGGTAACTTTTGTTTCTGTCAAGACATTTGTACTTTGCAAGGTATTCTGCCTTAATGTTAATTGTTAGTGTTTCTGGATCTTTAATGCATTAAACTGGATAGCTCATATTTGACTGCATTTGTTTTCCAGTCACGAAGAGTAAAAGAAGAGGAGAACATGGAGGTAAAAATGTCTCTTTCATTTTTTTTTTTTCTTCCTCGTGTGTGAGTGAAGGGATTTCTCCTTCAATTTATGTTGTTAAAAATGTGGATTGAGGGGGGAGTGTTGTTGATTTGGTTCTGCAGCTTTGTACAGCAAGTACTTGTGAGGATAGAGCTGCATGCAGCTGGGCCTGTAGCAATTAATTTGAGTACACATTGGGTGAAATAGATAGGAAATTCAAAGTGATGTTATTTTTGTGCCCAGGAGAACTGGTTAAGATAAGTAATTTGGCCATTTTTAATGAGTCCTCCTAACTGGATTACACTAATTGCTGTCTTTTTGTCAGAATGATGATGGTTGTTTCGGAGTAGCTAGAAGATGTCCAAATAATTTTTCATTCTCAGGATTTGTATCACAATGTGTAGCTTCTAATTAAAATTCTTGATACTGTATGAAGTAAAATAGTTCAGTACTGTGGAATAGTAGATTAATTCAGAGTAATAAAATACCATACTGAGTTTCATGGCCTTGTGCTGAGAGTGTAGGAAGCATCAGTGCTGTAAATAATGGGTTAAGAAGTTTACCCATTACAGTCAAAGTGGTGATCTTTTTAAAAATGTCTGTTCCATGGGTGGTGACACTTGTCACTTCACCTTCAATTTTATATTTTCTGATTTTCATGGTGTCACAGAAATCTGCAAAAAGAGTTGCTGGTTTGGTCCTGTTTGCTCCTGTGATGCCCCAGTGTAGTTTACATGCTGCTTCAGTACCTGTCAAACTTGTCATTAAGGGCTGAGATGTCTTGGGGCCTGTGTGCTGTTCCTCATGCTTCTCTTGCTCCCAAAAAACTTGGGGATTGCCTCACCCTGGAGTTTACTCTGGGATTTCAAATCAACATGTAATTAAAATTGGGCTTCAAGTGCCAGAGTCAGTTTATAGAGGGAAGACCTTGATTGCACGGAGTAGTTTTACATGCCTGTTGGTTGTATCACTTGAAGATCATTTTGGGGATCATTTATACTCCTTCATTCTTTTAAAAACACTTGTAAGCTTTAAAGTCTTGTATTAGTGAAGTCTTGGAAATGGTTTCCCATAATTGCAGCACATATGGAAGTGGTCAGTCTAGCTCTGATGATGATCTCTGAAGCATGGCTTCCACAGGGGAAGCAGATTTCGACAGGCTACACCTCAAAGGCATTGCTCTGGTCACTGACTGCTACCTATTGTATTGATAAGAATGGTTTCTCAGAGCAGTTACCTCTGTCTGATGTTGCTTTTTGAAGGAGTGGTGAGCAGATCCCCATTATGTCATCTGGGTGAAGGAAAAAAAAAAAAAAAGTTCTGTTGGCTTTTGTTTTCATAAATGTTCCAGAAATGTCCGCAGACTTGTGCAGGTTACCACTATTGTTGTGTCTCTGTTCATTGTTGATGGACTGCATGCTCCCGTAAGTGGACATAACAGACCTATTAAAGATGCAGATATAAGAGTACTAGTTTATATTAATGGAAGAAAGTTAATGGAGCTAGAAAAAAAAATCTGTTCCAATTCTAGTAATCAAATAATTTTCCAAATATTCATTAATTTTTGTTTAAAATACACAGATCATTGAAATCTCATATATCTCAGATCTCATGTATTAAAAATGTAGCTTTAATGTGAAAAACTGCTGGAAAAGAATCAAATGAGGTTTGTGATGCACATCTTTAAATTGTTTTGGGAGGACTTGACTGTAACTTTAAACGAATTTCTGGGAGCGGTGACAGTGTGCCAAGTTGTGTATGGAATTGTGGTAGGATAGAGGACCCTTAGGTACTCTGCATGTAGAATGCTTGAGACTTGATATAAATGCTAGTGGAGGGCTGGGCAGGGTATTACAGTCTGTGAGGTAGGAGTGATAGTGTGAAAGATATCTGTATTCATGATTTCTCTGAAAGCTGTTCTCCAAGCTGTGATGCCTGCTTTGATACGCTACTTGTACTTAGCGGGTGGGTAGACTTGAGGAATCAAAATTGCTATACAGAAATAATGGGAATAGTAACTTGATACTCTCACTGTGCAATTATTATTTAATAGATTACTTGAGTTTTGATGCAAGGTAGATTAAAAGTTCTTACTCTTTGTGCTTTAACATAGGCCTTGCCATTTGTATCTCTGTAATTCAAATACAGCAGTTTTACTGGTATCAGCTATATTTTAGACTGTTACTGAATGTGTTTAAAAAGCCTTTTGAGAGTTTGGGGATGTGTAAAATATTCTCTGAAGTCAGACTGTTAGCATGGCAAGTGTTTCAGGACTTTTTTTTCTTTGGCATCTATTATAACACATTTTGCTTTTTTTCTTTAATAGTCTCAGCCTGCTGTTAGTGATGAATATAGTGAAGTTCCATGTGCAGTGAATCTTGTCTTAAGATTAAGGTAAGAGATTCTTTTATTTATTTTAACATTCCTTGTAAGGTGACTATATTATTCTTGATCTCCCTCATTACTTTCATAATATTAACATAAAATAAGTGTTAACCTCTTTAATCTCCCAGTATGACCAGTATGAATAGTATTTCTGTGACTAATTGCTGTCTTTTAATTGCTTACTGAAATAGAATAAAATGAAAAGCAGAATATGAATGTGGCTTCAGGCTAAATGTATCCTTCATTAAGTATTTTCTTTCTTTTTTTCCTTTGCAATGCAGGATCACAGTGAGAGATTTTTAATGAGTTTCTTTCACACTTCAGCAGTCAGCCTCTGACAGAAATAAACCATAGCTATATTACAAGTTGCTACTCAAAAAACATTTTTCACTGGCAAGTTTGATCAGCCACTGTAGAGAAATGACAGATATTTTAGGAAATGGATACAAATATGTTGTCTGACTTTAAATTTAATATGTGGTCAAAATGAGTCACTTTTCATTAAAATTAGTTTACAACTAAGATTTGATAATGTTTAATTATGCAGTTTAATTCTTGGATAGAAGTGTTTGTTGTAACGAAAAATTAGATAGCTTTTTCTTTATTTATAACTATTTTCCTTAAATGGCTAACTTGGTTAAAAAAACTTGTTGTCACTCACTTTAAAACTTGTTTTCAGCCTGTTTGTTTTGACAAGTGATTACAATATTTCACAGATACTCTAAACACTTTATATAGGTAGAAGTAAATGTTATTTAAACACAAATAGAGAAATATTTACAAAATTATGACCAGTATATTAGCAACAATTAGCAGATGAATGTACAACAAGTAGCTTTAAAACAGTAACATTCAAAACTGTTAATAATCACAAAAAATACACAGTACAGAATGAGTGTCAAGTTTCCAAACCTATTATCTCCCCTTTTCTTTGA